CCCTTCTCTCTCTCCTCATATAGTGATACGCTCTATAAAAAAAAAAAAAAAAAAAACTACTTGATAAACTATTTTTTTTTTATTAACCTGTAAATAATAGGCTCAGAACCAATTTGATTCGGCTATCAAGGAGCAGCGTATGAAGCGTCTTCATTTCTTATTAGAAAAGTCAGGTGCCTATGCAACCATTTTGGGTCGTAAATTGGAAAGGCAGCAAGAAGAAGCTCGTGAAAGGGCTGCACAGATAGAGGCATCAGAAACTCCAGACGAACCAGAAGATCAACCAAAGCGTGGAAAATCGCGTCGGACACGTGCTGCTCCTCCTTTGGGCCAAGCGGCAAAGAAGAGAAAGATCACGGACGCTGATTATCAGTTAACTGACTATATTGGAGACGAGGTATGTGAACACATTATCTCCCCCCTATTTTTTAATTTAATTTATGCAAACTTGTTTATGACAGGATATCAAAAAATCTAAAGTAACAGATGGAGATGTGAATAAGGCCATCATGGAAGAAGAAAATAAAACAGATGAAAGCAAGATTAAACCAACCATCTCAGCACGTCAACCCGCTCTTGTCACCGGAGGTGTCCTTCGAGATTATCAACTTGCAGGTGTAGAATGGCTGATTAGTTTATGGGAGAATGGATTAAATGGAATCCTTGCTGATGAGATGGGTCTAGGAAAGACCCTTCAGACGATCAGTTTTATTGCACACTTAAAGTCTATGAAAGTAGCCGGGCCTTATCTTATCGTGGCACCTCTCTCCACATTAGCCAATTGGGTGAATGAATTCAAGCGTTTTACGCCAACGATCAATGTTCTGCTCTATCACGGAACCAAAGAAGAAAGACAGCACATGATTAATAGAAAGATGTCTAAAAAGAAAGAAACATCCTTTGAGTTCCCAGTGATCGTCACGAGCTATGAAATTGTGATGAATGATCGTAAATATTTGCAACGATACAATTGGAAATACATTGTAGTTGACGAAGGCCATCGTATTAAAAACATGAATTGTAGATTGATTAGAGAATTAAAGTCCTATGCGAGCGCCAATCGTTTATTGTTGACAGGAACACCTCTGCAGAACAACTTGGCCGAACTGTGGAGTTTGTTGAACTTTTTGTTGCCTGATATCTTTGATGATTTAGACATGTTTCAATCATGGCAAGTAGAAAGAAAGAAAAAGGCTTGATATGTATACCCATACATTTCTTTAGGTTTGATTTCTCAGACATTAATAACAAGAGTGGACAGGATCGTATTATAAAAGAAGAAGAAGAAGACAAGATTGTGACTAGTTTGCATACGATATTGAAGCCATTTTTACTGAGAAGACTAAAGACAGATGGTAAGCAAGTTGTATGTCATATACTTGATCTAACTCTTTACTGTAGTCGAACACTCATTACCAAAAAAGAAAGAGTACCTTTTATATGCACCCTTAACACAACCACAAAAGAACCTTTATGATGCTATCATTAAGCGTGATTTACGTGATTACTTGCTCAAGAGAAAGATTTCATTACCAGATAAAGAACAACAGGATCGTAGAGCAACCAAGGCAATAGACTACAAAGAAAAATCAGATAGACAATACTTTGCAGAACTAGAAAAGAAAAACAATGCACAATCATTACAAGAAGAGAGTGAAGCCAAATTGAAGCGCGCTGAATTTGAAAGTGCCGTCAAACAGGTCAACAGTTTACACCTCCAGAATTTAGTTATGCAACTACGAAAGGTGTGTAACCACCCCTTTTTATTCGACTGGCCGCTTGACCCCAAGACGAATGCTCCTGTGCTCAACAATGACCTTGCTGCTCAATCGGGTAAAGTACTACTACTGGATCGTCTTTTGACTGCCTTGTTTGAAAGAGGGCACAAGGTCTTGGTCTTTTCTCAAATGACCAAAATGCTGGATATCTTGGAGGATTGGGCCACAGACATCAAAGGTTGGAAGATCTGTAGGTTGGATGGAAGTGTGCCCCAAGAGAGCAGACGTCAGCAGATTGAAGAGTTTAGCGACCCCAAGAGTGATACGATGCTCTTTTTACTTTCCACTCGTGCTGGTGGCCTTGGTATCAACCTTACAGCAGCTGATACGGTTGTGATATTTGATAGTGATTGGGTAAGTTGTAGATATCAAGATGAGATACAGTGTCATTAATGATTATGTCAGAACCCTCAAATGGATCTTCAAGCACAAGATAGAGTTCATCGTATCGGACAGACGAAACCCGTGTTAATCTATAGATTGGTGGCAGCCAAGACAGTAGAAGCCAAGATATTGGAAAAGGCAACGGCCAAACGTCGATTAGAAAAATTAGTGATTAGTAAAGGTAAATTCAAGTCGCCTGTATCAGCCGATGGCAACAAGAAACAAGAAAGTTCTGTACGTGAATTAGCAGAGATATTAGCTTCTGAAGATGGAGAGCAAGTTCAGATTGTTGCTGAAGGAGATAAAGTCATTTCTGATGCAGACCTTGAGAAGCTCTTGGATAGAAGCCCATCTGTATTCGAAACCAAGAATACAAGTGAGACGAACCAGTTTAGAGAAATGGATTCATCCGAATTACAAGATACTAAAAATGAAATTCTTGCTACTCGTTCATAAAATTAATAGGAATAAAGAAAAAAAAAAATAGAATTATCTCTTATTTTCTTTTTCTTTATTATTATTTTCAAGCAAAAAATGTCAGAAAAGCCTAATCATTACTACAATAGTTCAAACTATAACAACAATGCATTAAGTCGACCTGTTCGACGACATTTAGTTAATGTCTATTTGACATTAGCAGCCATGTGTGCAATTGCTACGTTTGGTTCACACATAGGAGACTACTTGGGACCAAGTGGAACAAGTATAGGATCAGTTGGAGCCCTGGGAAGCATGTCGATGATACGATTCACATCCATAAACAGTAACAGTCGATGGGGACTCTTACTGGTAAGTTGTGTGTGTTTCCTGATAAACATCAATTATAATACGATATAGGCATACTCTATCTTTAGTGGCATCGCCATTTCCACCTTTATATCCTTTATCTTAAACTGGGATCCAACAGGGAACATTGTCTTTCTGTCTCTTACTTCAGCTGCCTTGGTCTTTTTAGGATTTACCCTAAGTGCCTTGACCTCCAGTCGACGCAGTACAATGTATGTTGGAGCATTGGCGAGTAGCGCGATCAGTGTTTTGCTGTGGTTATCATTAGCCAACATCTTTTTTTTCCAATCATCCAATCTGTTTTCATTTGAATTATACGCAGGCTTATTAGCCTTTGCAGGATTTGGTAAGAGAAAATAAGTATATATTTATATATTCTTGTTAACTAGATGGTTTAAAGTGATGTATGATACGCAAATGATCATTGATAGAGCCAATGCGGGCATCATGGATATTCCAGGACATGCCATTGAACTCTTTATGGACCTGTATGCGCTTTTTGTCCGATTTGCCAATATCTTTTTGAAAAAGGAAATGGAACGGGAAAATGACAAACGAAGGAGACAAAGAGGAGGCTTTAGATTACAACGAGAATAAAATTATTATTTATTGGTCGTCTTCTTGTGCATAATACAGTCTTCTTTCTTCTATTTGTTCTTCAATACTTTTTAGATTAGGTACATTTAAATACCCTTTATGGTAAGTAAGGACTTCTTCTAGTGACAAGTGTGGAATCAAATTTCTTCTAGGTGCCACCTTTAAACAGTGTTCAGCATCCATTTTTAGATCAAGTACGCTGTCATAGTGAGCACCTGAACTGAATCCGATACGTAGAGAATATTCTTTTTCTTGTCTATTTCTCTCATACAGTTCAAATGTGATTTGTGTCAAGACTATCATCAAAAAAGCAGTTATTTTTTTTTTCAACCCCTACGCACAAAAATAGGACTTACAGTCTAATTCAGGTAGAGTATTTTTGGGTACTTTTGTAGGTACACCGGATAGATATACCAGGTTAAGTAATGCATGTACATGCGATTCTATTCATATATGCGAGTGAGTTTATGGCAAGTATACTTACAAAAGTGTACCTTTAGTGAAATAGAGTCTTGTCCTCGGATTATCAGAGAATTGCATTTCATCCAAATCATTTAATATAGATTTTAACAGAGGAAAGCTAATGAGCATACCGATATTTTTCTTTTCATTATCAGAAATGCCAAATTCTTGAGGAGCAACAAAGTCAAACATGATTTTAACGTTTCTATACAGTTTCCTTAACAGGTCATTGTTGCTGTCCTCAGGATGCCCAAAGATAGTCTCCAAGAAGGTTCTGTTGTGAAGAGAGTCGTATTTTAATGAATCATATAAGGCTGGTATGGCTGAAGGATCTGGATAGCTAAAGCCAGCGTCTTCATTTGTAAACTGTCTAAACATACGTTCCCATCTTTCCTTGAACAGGTTGGGAGAGTCAAAGCAACACCAACGTCTTTGGATGTTATCGACATCCAAGGTTGACCAATTATCTCTCATGATAAATTGCATGCGTGTCATCATTTCTGATACTTCCTGAAGGATGATATAAGGCTGTGGTAATTTGGCGTCCCAGCCGACTTGAGCGAGCATCCACTCTGGAATATTGTTGCCTGGTTTCAACAGATTTTTTAATTGTTTCTTCACTGCATCCGATTGTTCCTTGGCTGCATTGCTATCATCAAGTAAATATTTACTTTCTGAGATAACCCCTTCTAGTGTTTCAGGATCCCCTAGGAACCATCGAGCAAAAACTTGAGCAGTATCTCTCACTCGTCTCTCTGAACTGCTGAATATCTTTACGTCCTCCAACACTTGTCTGTTTAAAATATTCATATCCTTTCTCAAGTTTTCTGCTAAATCTTTAGATTGATGACGACCAGCGTGAGTAAACTGTAAAAAAAAAACAAACAAACAATGTGAGCTGCGCATGTACATGTGTATATATGTGTGTAGTATGTGGTTTGTGAATATTGTTGCATATGCCACAATCATACCTCTCCTCCCCATTTCACAATCACTTGAACTTTAAGCAATTTCTTTGTTTCCCTATCAAACTTGGGTTTTAATTGAACCTTTGTGCCTGGTAAATCGTGCTTCTTCTCCAAGACTTCCTTCAATGCCAACAGCTTATTCATTTGTTGTTCATCAGGGCAGTTTTCAAGACAGACATCTAATGCCTGCATAACTGACTCTAATTGGTGCTTTTGTCTAAATACAACTTCTCTTGTTGAGCCTTGTAGTAAATCGATAAATGGTTGCTCCATGATGGACATTTTCATTTTTTCCTTTGGTGTACGATCGCCGTGTCTAAAGACAGCAACGAACCCTTTGAGTCTCCAAGAATTCTCGGGAGATATCTCGGGAGGAATATGATCTGCGAGTGAAAGGGGTCTCTCTTGTACAGAACGATAAAAGATCTCCTTTAATATTTTGGCGCACTGATCATAATAAAAGTCATTTCCTTTTACAAAGCTCCATCCATTGACATCAATGACATATGATTTCCCTTGAACGCGAAGAATATCCAATCCACAGACTGTTTGTCCAAATGCCTTTGATACCTTTCTGGCGATATCTTCTTCTTCCTGTGTTAACTTTACGCGATAACGAATTTCTTTTCCATCCGTGTTACGTCTGACATGGCCATCTACAGTAGGTGATCTTACGGGATATTTAATAAAAGACCAACATCAAAATAAACCACTTACTTTCTTGTTTCCGCATAGACAAATTGAGGACCGACTGTATAAAGTTTGATATCCTCACAATTTTCAGTTTCCATTAGTTTTTCATAAATCCAAGAGCCTTGATCGTGTGGAGTTTTTAAATCCGGATCAAATTCGCTTGATTTATTTCCAATCTAATTTTATATCCGATTATTATTATTATTTTCATTATGATAATAATAATAATGCTGATTACCTTACGGAATAACCTTCTTCCACCACCTCCTCTCTTTTCAGAATAATAAATGTTTATATTGTGATTTTCACCGTCAGCAGGTTTTTCAATAAAGGTCTTTTCTAATCGTTCACCATTGACTTCGATATAATGATCATCGATATGAATTGATTCTGTGTTGGTAGCATATCTTGCCAAGACACGGTCCATGTCCATACCCGTACATGATTTGAATGCAGAGGCCGCTTCAGGATCTACTTTTGCTCCATCATCTCTAGAGATAACTAATCTTGGTGGTGTAGGTACACCAATCGCATCCAGAACGGATAATACAACTCTTCTGTCCCATAATAATGATTGCATGACTACGTTATTGACACAGTATGGTTTTCTTAATTTTGTATAGGCGATGGCTTTATCAAGTGGGAATCCACCTGAAAAGAAGCAAATCAAGAAATCACAACCAGGCCAATTTTCGACCTCTATTTATTATTATTAGCCAGGTTTTATACATATTAAAAATATATACCTTCATCTAAAATAGTTTTATCACCAAATATGACAATTTCGAAATCCCCATGCATAAGTAATCGATTAAGTATATATCGCATAGGCTTTGATCTAGCTTTTCTATCCATAGCACATACTCCTACAATATCTATTTTTTTTTTTTTTTTTTCATACAATGGTAAATAAAGTTGTCCATGTTGTATATCGTCTTACATTTTCCCCTATTCTCTGCCATCGAACATGGCGATAATGACGTAGTAGATGAAGTCGTTGGCATAGCGATATAAAATCACAACAAAAAAAATAAAAAGAGAAGAGAAAGAAAAGAATGAAAGGAATTTGAATTGATTTTTGACACCCAAAAAAAGATTTGTTTGTGCAACGACACGTGTGAACTGGACGTCATGACACTCTCGTTTACTCCAGATCATTATTTCCATACATATTCTGTCTTCTGAATGATTGGTTAAGAGGACACACTGATATGATTGGGTGAAACAAAGATTCCCCCTCCTTGATGCCATACATCTTTAATATCTTTTGACTCACTTCAACTTTTGCTTTCACATGTCTTTATCTTTTAGCTACTTTTTTAACTTTCTTATACTCTTCCGGGCGGGGTTTTTATTACAGTACTCTGTAAAGTTTGTTAAACAGGTTCATCAGCTTTTCAAAGTGCTCAAGAGAGAGAGAGAGAGGGGGGGGGGGAAACTAAGTGTTAGATCTCAGGGGATAATTGATTTGAAAGGGTTTGGACAATATCAATACTACACTCATTAGATAATGCATAGCTACACTTACAGCATTTCAAATGATAAATAAAGAATGATTCAATGCTTACAGGTCTTTTAAGCATTGTCTTTATGTAATCATCTCGCTAACTTGAATATTTACTCAGATAGATCATAGCTCATAAGACAGAATTACCTTATTTTTAAAAAAGCAATATATTGGAACTTGTTAAAACTGGTTCCCTATTGCTTCATGAGAATAATGGTTTTATTAAAGAGAGAATGTGATATGTTTGTATTATATGAAATATAGGGTACTGCGTGCTTTTACTGAGAAAACTTGGTTATTCCTTTAATAGGCAAGCGCACTCTGAAGAAGCTTACATTCTACGGAAACAGGAGCATTGACACTAGCAAAAAAAGACTGTAGGAGACTACTATTACAGCAATAAAGTTTTATGTGGGTTTATACACGCAAAGATGTCCTATAGCTCATGTATATATCACCTATTAATGGTGCATTACAATGAGAACATTGAAAAATATACTTGTAAAGAGAATTGAGTTTATTGATATTTTATTACACTCGACCAGGTTTGATTAATGTATTTTGCCGAGCTTTCCTTTGACAAACGTTCCTTTCATAAGCTTTGGCATTACTCTACTTCCGATACGAAGAAGTGGACCGATGAAAGGAGCAGGTGCTGGATCAGGAGCAGGAGCAGGAGCAGGAGCAGAATAGCCAAGAGCAGCAAGAGAAGCACAGATGGTAAGAAGAGCAAGCTTGATTTGCATCTTTATGATCAAACGGTTGAAGAAACTGTTGTGTCCTTTTTTGCCAAAAGTATTGCCTCTCTTTTATATTAAAACAGATTCATGTAGGCGTTGCTACCATGGCTATTTACTATTGGTTATAAGCATATTTTACAATTCTTGGCTAAATGAATATACTCTGCTTCTCTGGTTTGTTGATCATGTTTTCATAAATGCATAGACTACATGGACTCTCCTCCGCATGCTGATCTGTTTGAATTGATAGTTTAATAGCAAAAGGCACATGTAACATGTTTTGGTTAGTTCAATAAACAAAAGGCTGAACGCTTACGACTGCATTAAAAATGAAAAAGTGTAAGCTATGTACGCTTTGCTGATGTAACAAACGTAATCAAATGCAGTGTATTATTTCTTATGTGAATGCAATATAACGTTGAGAGAGGCAGTCTTTACCGCTGGAATATAAAAACTGCTGCAAAATAAAGTTGTATATATAAACCTCTTCTATAGGGCAATCATGATTTTACCCTGAAAAAAACTCTTACACTGCTGCATAAAGTGAAAGGTTATGTTTGACAGTTTAGTATGCGCTAAAATGCGTGATGATTTGTTAAAGGACAAGAAAAAGAAGAAAGGGAGCGACAGAACGATTTTTTCTTTAGACTGGCTTGGCCGGCTATTTGTCCTGGATTACAAACGCTGTGAAACTGTCTTTGTATACTGGGACTGTTTGACAATAGATAATATTCTTCCTTGAAATAGACAATGTATGTAAGCAACTAGTCAGCGTGATAGTTATTCATGAAAGCTCATCATTATAGAAAGCAAAATATCCATATTTAAATCTAGTGTGTTTGCTTTTGGTGTAAAGCAAATGTTTCTGGATACAAATAAGCCCTAAATAAAGCGCACCCTGTATTTATTATTTATTAGTGGCGCATAGAAACAAAAAAAATATGTGGTATGTAAGAGAACTATTGAGTTTCTTGATGTTTATTATACTTTGGCGACATAAGCTTCCTTTACAGTTACCCAGGCTTTGATGAACCATTAAGTGGGTTGATAAGTGATCGTTTTTCTCGATGGGGTATCTCCCCAGGCATCACTTATAACGAAAGGCGTAGCAGAGCCGATAGTGAAGAGAGACGCATAAATAGTAAGAAGAGCAAGCTTGATTTGCATCTTTATGATCAAACGGTTGAAGAAACTGTTGTGTCCTTTTTTGCCAAAAGTACTGCCTCTCTTTTATATCAAAGCAGATCACGTAGGCGTTACTGCCATGGTGGTTTACTATTAACTATAAGTATATTTTACAATTCTTGATTAAATGGATGTACTCTGCTTCTCTCTATTTTGTTGACTATTTATTCATAAATGCATAAACTTCATGAACTCTCCTTCACATGCTGATCTGTTTGAATTGATGGTTTAATAGCGAAAGGCACATGTAACATGCTTTGATTATATCAATAAACAAAAAGGCTGAATAATTACGACTACATTAAAGATGAAAAAGGTTTAATCTGTAGTTAAATAAATCGTCGCTTTTAATTTAAGCACACGTAAACATTGCCGCTGTTACTATACATAATCAAATGTAGTGCATTATTTTTGTGTATACAATGATACAGTGTTGTAAGGTAATATCGGGTCAAAATCTATTTTGAATAGTTTAATGTGTGCTGAGGAGCGATAGTTTAGGGGCATGGCAGATGGAAGGTGTAATAGAATGGACTTTTCCTTTTTAGACTTGCTTGATCGGCTGTTTGTCCCGTGTTGCAGACACTGTGTAACTATCCTACCCTCACTGTTAAATGAAAAAGGTGCACACGCTCCAAAATGATTGTCCAATTAAATTATAATTCATCCCATTTTCATTAACTTGGCTCAACTTCCAGCTGTGTATGGTCCATTGCCATCCTCTTGGGCCAGGACACAGTTATGTTTCATGTTAATACGAATCGAATCTAGGTGCTCTTTCTTCTTGTTCAATGTAGGCAAATACCGTGCATAAGAAAAATTTAGTTATCAACAATATAAAACATTGGCTCGAATGTCACTTTTTTTTTTCGAGCATAAAGGTATTACCATATTTCCACTTAAATTCGACCAAAGCAGCAAATGAGTTAGATCAAATGAGCTTGGCTATTTCGTCCATTTGTGTGCCTTTGTTTTGACTAAATTAGAAAGAAGTTTTCGACTAAAAATAAAAATAAGCTTGGTCAGGTTGTAGTGAGCTTTCAACTGCGTAGTCGAATTAAAGAAGCTCTTCTTTATTTAAACAACGCTCAAAGAAGGATTCGGATGCCTAATCTAGCCTTAATAATCCTCAGGAGTTACTTCCTCCGCAGCCTTTCTTATTCTTGATATTGAGTTATCACGATCTGACATCAGAGATCTGCGAATAAGTGTCTTTACCTTGGCCCTAAACTCTTCTATTGGATTTAAGAAAGGGAAGTAAGGTGGAAGGTATATTATCCTGTATCCTCTTTTGTTGACTTCCTCTGTGATCTTTTCAGGCTTATGGATAAGTCCATTATCCATGACTAAATTGCAACTCTTCAAATTGTGTTCGTCAAGGACATCCATGATGTGTATAAGCAATGCCATGAATTATTTCTACTTTGTACTAGCTCTGGTTACCTTGAGCTCAGCATTGACAACGCCAAGGGAGTGAATTACATCTAGCATGGAAATAGACGGTCCCCTGGTGGTTGTTACCACAGCTTTTATAGGCTCACCTTTCTTTTGATCTGCCCTGGCTTCTTACAGTATGAAGATTGAACCCAGGCTCATTAATGAGGATATAGTTTTGCATAAAACTGATGTTAGAGTCTTTAATCCACGCCTCAACAGCTCTAAATCTTTGTTCAATAACGTCAGGAGAGTTTCATTTGGCAGAAATATTTGTAGTTCTCTTTAACGTGTAAGAACAGCTTTCTTTCAGGTGCTCATTCACACCAAATTTAGAAATACTATGACCTTCAAATTTATCGCTGAAGGCGTCAACCATTTAATCTAGCGTGGCTACCGGGTTGTTGTCAATGAGTTCTTCCAAAAATTTCATGTGCTCTTCCTTCAGCTTGCGAAGGCGCTGACTCTTTTTTGGCTTCTCTTTAATAGTATTATCCACTTCTAAGGTCTCTTCTTTTGCTGCTTTAACCCAAGATTTCAAGGTAGATACAGGTATGCTATACTTCTCTCCAACCTGCTGTAACTAAGAGAAGTAAACAGATACGTCTGGATAGCCCTGTCCTTTTCTTTCTCTGAGTAGTTCTGTTACTGTTGCCTATTAGTTTTCTTAGATATTTTCTCTTCCACTATGTTAAATTGTGGCTCTTGAACTTAGGTTGAGACTTTTTTTTTTGTAAATTGGGTTGAGACTTCTGTACTGAGAGGGTATTTTTTCTGGCCAATAGCGAAGATTCGTCAATTTTAGTAGAAGTGAGACTAACAGGGAAATACCTTGTTCGGACTTTTTTTGAATTTTCGTATTTGGCTGCTGCCAAAAATCAAGCCAACCAGCCCTCTTTTTCATACGTTTACTCAATCTTTTGTATGATATATGATTATTCTATGCTTTCATTTTATTATATAAGTATTAAATATAATACATATTATATAGGCTATCTTTTAGTTTTTGATTTTTATTACAAAAAAGTGATGTTAATTATTGTTGCTGTTGTTAGACTCTTTAATTGTTGATCTTTACTTATCAAGGGAGGCGCCTATCTGTATTCTTCTTTCTTCTAATCTTCGAGCTGCTTTTTCACATGATGATCTTTCTTCTTCTGCTTTCTTCTCAATTGCCTTATACAGCTCTTTTCTCTTGCTGAAAAAGCATGACTCTTTTCTGTTCTTTCGCCAGGCTGTCCCAAACTGTGCTTCTAAAGATTGTATCGAAGGCTTCCCAGAGAATCCTACGCTGTACTCTCTCCAGGCATCCGTAACAGTTAATATATCCCTATTGAGCTGATAGGTTGGTGCAGCGGAGTTCGAGCTAGGTGGAGTAGCAGAGGCACCTGAAGGTTGAGCTCCGGGAACAATTTACATGTTGGCAATAGCTTTGACATAAGCAAGGACTCACTCTCTGTCTAAAGCAATAGCGGTACCATTTGAATTTCTTCTAAGCTTTCGGCCGCGCTTCATGACATATTCTGCAAGGAAATAGCTAAGCTTTTGGTCAGTCACAACCTCTCCATTACCAAATTTTTGTCCAAGGCACCATTTCTATGTTTAAGCAGAATAGTTAGATTTTCAAATCTTTTATTTGTCATTACTGTCTAGAGTCATCTTCCACTCTTCTTGCTTGACTGAATATGCCTTAATAGTGTTCACAGGACGATGAGTCATATTTTGAGCAATGATAATTTGGTTACTATAGCACATATCAAACATTCTTCGCTCCACGTACCTGATAAAGATATTTTATACTCCGTTACATAGCTTTTATATATTTCCCTGCATAGCATTTTTTTACTTTTTTACTTTCTTTCTTCTTTTCATTTCTTATTGATAAATGTAAGCATTACTTACTCAGAACCCTAGTTGGACGAGCACATATGCAGGCGAAGACAGGCTGCCACTGTACTGACTACCTTATACTTGTTATAAGGGAAATTCTTTGCCAGTGCGTTGAGTACTCTATAGTTTACCCTCGCGGACTTTATGCTTCTGAATGATACTGCATTAGAACCTAATGGCGCTGGTCGTCAGAAGAGGAAGGCTTACCTTCAGTGTACCAACTGACATTTTGTTCACTTGTTTGAACCCTATACTGACTTTTTTTTTTCAAGATAGGAAGAACTTTGGAAGATGCTTGGGTGTATTAGTATTGGCTTTTATAAATAAATAATTAATGATGCTATTTTGTATTTTTATTAATGTTTTGTTTGCTTTTGAACATTTTATTCCAGATAGTCATTAGTTTATACACATTGATTGAGCATTTACCATAAAATCAACTAAGCGGCATGTCTTCTAATACCACTTAAGAATACGTATCTCCCTTAAGATCCTAAGTACGTAATATTTAATTTATGATTGTCTCCTGTTTTTCGTGTAACAAAATATCAAATAAGTGGAAGGATCGAGGGCTGATGTAGATGAAGAGTCCACATAAATAAGCCATAGCTTAGTTATTATGTCGTGAAACAAACTATAAACACCAGAAAACGTTGCCATACAAGCACTACTTGAATATTCCCATATAAAATAAAGAGTATGTAATATACATTTATGGTTGTTCTAAATAAAGAGCCTAGATCTTTTAGCTGAAACCTTAGAGGTAAACAGCCATTCAAGTATAGCTTATCAATATTACCTTCTCTGTTTATCTGTGTGCTACTAAAACAGTGGGCAAATAGCCTTTACGTACAAAGTAAAGATATTTGAAGCGTTGAACCAATGCAAATCACTATATTTTGAAAGCTATGCCCAAAAATTTTGTGCTCTTAACGACATTTTCGTCTTGCACATAACCTACAAAATACTTTATACGTTGTAGGACAGCTAAATTTTCAGGCATTGTTGATGAAAGCATGGCACGATCCTGCTACTAGTATGCCCTTTTTTCTTGTGTTTCCAAGTTAGAAACTGCTTTGTCTGATAATATCACAGCTTATTCTATAGGCTTGTAATTATTAATGTGATTGATGTGCAAGCACTGTTTAGCTATTCTTATTTGACGTAGAATACGACAGAACAGTTACAGCAACTATAATGAACTGGAAAATACGCTGAACAGACAGTCAGATCATGCAACTGGTTACCTCTTTCTGGTAGCAAAAGTTGCTTCCATGATGGAACATAGACTTGAAAATGAACTAGGATATAATTAAAAGGGGCTAAAGAATGGTATTTCAAGGTAGCCGGCGAAGTTGACAAACAAAGAACAAAAAAAATCAATTAGTGGTCTATAAATCTAATAAACAATACGTTTGTTTTCCTTCATTATGTGTTTATACATGTTCACGCTATAAGGTATTTAATTATTGTCAAAAGCAACGTTATTTTACCACATGTAAAAGGAAATAAAAGAGACGTTATATAAAAACCATAGATGATTATACTTCAAACCAAGTGTAGTATAAATAGTGTCTCGCCCTACCGCACCTTTACCTGTTCTTACAGCTTGACGTCCAAACATGTTTGATAAATAGCTGGGTTTGATTACCTTTTTTTTTTCTCTTTTTCTCTTGCAAATCAATAACAATGGGTTCATCTGATCTCAACTTGAAAAAGTCATGGCATCCTTCGACTTTTAAGAACCAGGAAAGAGTATGGAAAGAAGAGCAAAAGCGTAAAGAGGAAGAACGAAAACTAGAACAGCTTAAAAAAGAACTGGCAGAAGAAAGACAGTTGCAGGAACTGCAGCAAATGCAAGAAGAATCTGGTGCAAAGTGAGTTGTTGCTACGAAATATTTGAATTGTTATTAAACAACGTATAGACAAAAATCAAATAAATTAGATTGGATGTATGCAGGGCCTAATGCCAGCATGAACGGATCCAATGATAATTCAATGGAAGATTTTCTGTTGGGAAAGAAGAGTGTTGATGAATTATTGAGAGCAAAACAAAGACAAGAAGTGGTAAGTTAAAGAATGGGATGATGTGAAAGGTAGCTGAACAATTTCTATATAGCAAACTGCCACAGAATTACAGGAGAGTAGATTTACATTATCGAACTCTAATGCAAATACAGAACGAGATATTCAATCCAAAATAAGAGAAGATCCATTGCTCATGATTAAAAAGAGAGAACAGATGGCATTGAAGGCTATTGTAGAGAATCCATTAAAGTTGAAAGAATTGAAGAAGAAGGAAAAGAAAGACAAGAAGAAAAAGAAGGATAGTAAATCAGAAAAGCATCACCATAGCGGTAGTAGCAGTAAACATAGAGACTATGGCAGAGACGAAAGGAGACATAGAGAATACGACAGAGATGAAAGAAGACACAGACATTCTGATGGGGATAGACATAGACATGAAAGAGATGATAGTCGAGACCGTAAAGAGAGATACTCTAGTAGTAGCAGCAGAAGAAGAAGAAGTGCTTCTCCCTATCGTAGATAATTTATGTAAATAAACCATGTTTCCTTTTATTCTAGTCATGAAAGATGACCCATCAGACAGACAATGAGGGGATGATATGTACAGATTTATTTATTGTAAGAATGGATTATAAGACTTTATTAAGAATGGGTTTGTGTTTGGTTTGTTAAGAAATGGATTGGTGTCATACGATGGTACTCGGCCTGCAAGCTGTTTTGGTGATGACATGACACTACTGTTTGTACTGCTAGTAGATGGTGTAGGGAATAATACTTCTTGATGTGTATCGATTGTGAGCTAAAGTTTTTCTTTTGTTAATTTACTTTTGATATCACCACAAAAGTCTACTTACAGGATTCTTTTCTTCATAAATTCTCTTCTCCCATTTATCGCGGATATATTTTTCCATGATGCTATTGAATTACATGAGTCTTTCTTTTGGTTAGCAAGTCGAGTGATTCTTACAAGTCGTCATCCATATCTAAAGGTAAATGATGATCCTTGGAAATGATTTGACTATTGACCTTTGCATTACCTCCTTTCTCTTTCATATTCTTTTATTATTATGTCAGAAACGACGAAGACCCTTTTTCCTTTTATGTCAATATGTTTATTCTACCTGTATCTCCTGCATTGTCCACTGATCCATACTGACTGATTTGATTCTAGACACATGTGTGCCCATCTTTCGATGAAGGCTAGCGCAACGAATACATAGAAATACTCCGAGTGAATAAGATGCCCAGCGAGGACCTACATGAATAAGCTATCATCATCCTTATTTTTTTTTTTGGCTGCCTTACTTGGTGCTAAACAGTCCGCACATCGTCTATTTTCTTCCATTTGGCATAATTCATTCAATAATCTTTCATGGCGTTGTTGAGTTGCTCTTGATTGCTTTTCACGCATTTTATAAAGAATAAAGAAGAAAGTAAAAAAGAAAAAGACTGTAAAAAAGAGGAAGAAATGGTATTAGCTTGTGTGACTCAGAATTACCGAAAACAGGCTAAAGGTATCACAGACCTTTTCTCAAGCTGACGATAACCATGGAAACACTCTGTTGTAAATGAGATGCATCATATATAATAGCTGTATATGAGTGTACAAGGTATATTTGCATATGCATGGAGGGACATTCATCATCAATAAGGTCCTCATTATAGTCTATGTAACAATGGCCCAATCATTTTCACACATGAAGATTCTGAACTGACTTTTAAAGTGTAAAAACTGTAATAGGATATTCTCAAGGTCCTTTTTTCTCAACGAAGAGGATTATGTTGCCGCTCAAAGATATTGTCGTGCTAGAAATGGCTGGCCTAGCGCCAGCTCCTTTTGCAGGATTAATTCTATCAGACTTTGGCGCAAATGTCATACGGATTGATCGTCCTAGTTCTTTCAACACAGACGTGTTAACCAGGTACATAAAACGTCGCTTTTTTCAGTGTATATATTTATGTATAATTGGACGTGTACAGAGGTAAACGATCCGTAGCTTTGAACTTGAAAAACAAGAATGCCATCGACACATTACTCAAAATGTGCGACAAGGCAGATATTCTCTTGGACCCTTTTCGTCCTGGTGTCATGGAGTCACTGGGTCTTGGCCCTGAGATCGTCTTGAACCGAAACCCCCGCTTGATTTATGCAAGATTAAGCGGGTATGGTCAAACAGGATCCAAGGCAGCTGGTCATGATATCAATTATTTGGCAATGTCTGGTGCTTTAAATGTATATAAATATATATATATATAATAACTTTTTGCCAATGCAACTCATGGTTGGATGAATAGATGATAGGCAGACAAGGTGAGGCACCTTTCTTTCCTATGAATCTATTAGGTAAGAAAGCTAAATTGTATAATGAGTGAACAACTCACTCATTATTAAAAAGCTGATTTTGCTGGTGGCGGTCTTTTGTGTGTCATGGGTATTTTGGTGGCTCTCATTGAAAGGAGCAAGTCTGGTAAAGGACAGGTTGTAGATGCCAATTTGGTAAGTAAATGTGCAAAAAAAAAAAAAAACGAAAAGAAATAGACGTCAATAACTCTACAATAGACAGCAGGCACATCTTATCTAAGTACATTCCCATTCTTGATGCAAAAGTATGGCCTCGTTTGGGAAGATGAAAGAGGAACAAATACATTAGATGGAGGTGCTCACTTTTATGAAACTTACAAGACGAAAGATGATCTATATATAGCAGTGTAAACTACCCTTTACACTATAAGTCCTTTGAATTAACTGTTATAATGAATATAGAGGAGCTATCGAGCCTCATTTTTACTCTTGTCTCTTGGATAAGTTGGGCCTTGACCAAAATGAATATGGACCAAAGCAGTATAACAAGGAAGAATGGCCAATGATGAAAAAGAAATTTCAAGAAATCTTTTTACAGAAGACTCAGAGTGAGTGGAATGCTATCTTTGACGGCTCCGATGCTTGTGTAACTCCCGTCTTATCATTCCAAGACAAGACAGCTCCTGCACCTCAACCAGCACCTGTTCTTTCAAGAACGCCTGCTCATCAAGTGGATTATAGTCAAGAACCTTCATTTTTGCAACCAGGAAAGCATTCGATACATGTCTTGAAAGAGTTTGGTATTTCATCAAACGAAATTCAAGCCTTGATTGCAACCAAATCCTTACTCGATAAGAGTTCACACCTATGAGCTTGTCCTTCTTTACCCCACTACAGCGGAGATAAAAAGTTGGGTTTCATTCAGAAAATGGTTTATCAATGTGACTCATAACACACCTTTGGAAAATATAAATAAAAAGAGAGCACGATTAAAGTTTGGCATCCTTCTTTGAATTTATTTATTTTTATCATGACAGGACCAAAGAAACTCTGGGGCGGCCGATTTACTGGCGCAGTCGATCCTTTGATGGACGCTTTCAATGCATCTATTCATTTTGATAAACGCATGTATGCAGCTGATTGTATTGGTTCTATTGCATATGCAAAAGCGCTTGCCAAGAATAATATCATCTCTCAAGAAGAAGGAGACAAGTTGGTCGAAGGACTGCAAGCTGTCATGGAAGAATGGGATCAAGGAAAATTTGTGATCAAGGAGGGTGATGAAGATATTCATACTGCAAACGAACGTCGTCTAGGTGAACTCATTGGTCCCGTGGCTGGTAAGCTCCATACAGGCCGATCTCGTAATGACCAAGTGGCTACCGACATGCGTATCTGGTTACGTGAAGAAGCATCCAGCATCTTGGCTCATCTCAAAGAACTCATTCAAATTGTTGTGGCTCGTGCCGAAAAGGAAGTGGATGTCATTCTGCCCGGTTATACTCACTTGCAGCGTGCACAGCCTATTCGTTGGTCCCATCTTTTGTTGTCCTATGCTTGGCTTTGGCAATCAGATGCAGAACGTCTCGAACAGCTCATTGATCGATTTAATGTATTGCCTTTAGGCTCTGGTGCTCTTGCCGGTCATGTATTCAACATCGATCGTGGTTTCTTGGCTAAAGAACTTGGATTTAGAGATTACATCCACAACTCTCTATGTGCCGTCAGTGATCGTGACTTTGTTGCTGAATTTCTCTTTTGGGCAAGCTTGACCATGACACATATCTCTCGTATAGCTGAAGATTTAATCATTTACTCAAGCAGTGAGTTCGGCTTTGTCAAGTTGGCGGATGCTTATAGTACAGGATCAAGCTTAATGCCTCAGAAAAAGAATCCTGATAGTTTGGAACTATTGCGTGGAAAGTCTGGACGAGTATTTGGAAATGTAAGTATTATAAATACAAAGGAAAAAACAGAGACTAATGTATCCTGTAGATGTCTGGTTTCATGATGACCTATAAGGGCATTCCAAGCACTTACAACAAAGACCTTCAGGAAGATAAAGAACCCATGTTTGACGCTGCTGACACTCTATCTGGTTCTCTTCAAATTACTGCTGGTGTGTTAAGCACAATGACCATATTCCCCGAAAAGATGAAATCTAGCCTAAGTTCAGACATGCTGGCAACTGATTTGGCAGAATATCTTGTTCGTAAGGGAGTGCCTTTCCGTGAAACACATCATATATCTGGTGCTGCTGTCAAGATGGCAGAGGATCGTGGATGCTCAATCAGTGATCTAAGTGTTACCGATCTTCAAAGCCTACATGCTTCTTTTGAACAAGATGTTGAAAAGGTATGGAGTTTTGAAACAAGTATCGAGAACCGTAATACTCCTGGAGGAACAGCAAAATCTTCGGTATTAGAACAAGTTAAGCTATTGAAGTCATGGCTTTCTTCAAAACAAGTTAAATAACTCTCTCATTGTGTGTGTATATTTGTAATCTGCGCCAAATCAAAGCAGAAACTATTGTACAGTGGTTCTACCCCAAAAGTTCGCTTTTTAATGAACTAAATTTGCTTTGGTCCAAGACCAAAGTTCCTTTTTATAAACTTCCAATGTTTGCTTTTTTATTAGTTTGTTTTTTCATTTTTTCATTTTTTTTTTTTTTTTTTTCAACCTGTCCAAGTCCCAGCTTTTAATTTTCTTAGGTTATCCTTATTATAGTAATGACTTGTGTGTCACTGTATGCTATTTATTATATTTTCTTATAACTACTTTGCCTATCAAACAGCTTTAAGAGTTGTTCGTAGCTCTTCAACTAGCTCTTCCATCTTTACATCAAGTTCGTCTATGTTCTCAGTAGGAAAAGCTCAGTATTGAAACAAAGACAACGAAGTGCTAAAGCTGTAAGAGTCTACTTCCTCTTTCAAGTCTGTAGCCTCGTTTTCCTGTTCGTCCACAATATTACTTCTATCATCTTTATAGAAAAAGCTACTATTTACTTGAGTAGTGTGTAGATAATCTCTCATTTATTGATTTATCAAACAGCCAATTATTTTATACATAGAAGGCTTTGTAAGCAGCGGTTCCATCATTTTGACCAGTCAGCCAATCGTGTTTTCAATAGGCTCTACTATAAAATATAAGGAACGGAATAATTGCCCTGCCCTTTCTTCAGTCTTGCTGTGCGCATGCTAACCATAAGAAGAGCCTTTTCAACTACTTCAAGACCATTCAGACTAGCTATTGTAGGCAGTGGGCCAGCCGGTTTCTATACAGCTCATCGTCTACTTAAAGAATGTCCACAAGTTCATATTGACATGTTTGATGCCCTTCCTGTCCCTCATGGACTAGTACGATTCGGAGTAGCTCCTGATCACCCTGAAGTCAAGGCAAGTGTTTAATTTACATAGGCTTAAGTCTTGATCTCCTTATGTTTTCTTCAAATAGAATGTCATGACAACTTTTGATAAAGTAGCAGAAGATCCCCGCTTCCGCTTCTTTGGTAATGTTCCAGTAGGCTCTTCAAACAATGGATTGAGTATAAAGGACCTTAAAGATAACTTCCATGCAGTTCTCTTATCTTATGGAGCCAGTGAAGATAGAAAGATGGGAATACCAGGGGAGAACCTTTACGGAGTAGAATCGGCCCGAACGTTTGTTGGATGGTATAATGGACATCCGTCTTATAGAGACCTCAAGCTACCACTTGATGATACAGACACCGCTGTCGTAGTCGGACAAGGCAATGTAGCCCTTGATGTTGCGCGTATTCTTTTGAGTCCTATTGATGAGCTTCGAAAAACAGATATTACAGAATATGCATTAGAGGCATTATCAAAGAGTAGAATCAAGCATGTTCATGTTGTCGGAAGAAGAGGGCCTGTACAGGTAAAAAACAAATGCTTTAGTATTGTCAAAAGAGATATCAACGAACAAGAACGGATATATAGGTCTCGTTTACTTCTAAGGAGCTAAGAGAACAAATGTCTTTACCTGGTGTAGCATTTGACGCTGACATGGACTTGATTCGTCGTGAGATTGAAGCATCACAGCCAATTATTAGCAAAAATAGACCTCTTAAGCGCCTTATGTCTCTTCTTGAGAAAGGCTCGCCCAATAAAGACACAGAGAAGACATGGTCTGCCAAATTCTTACGCAGCCCAGTAGAGATTTTGGGTAATACCGATCATTCGCGAGTACAAGGAATCAAGTATGTTATCAATAGATTAGAGGGGCCACTAGAGCAGAGAAAAGCCGTGCCTACTGAAGAGTATGAAACACAAGAGTGTGGTATAGTGTTGAAGAGTATTGGGTACAAGAGTATACCGATTGAAGATGTGCCATTTGACAGCCGAAGAGGCATAATACCTAATGAATATGGTAAAATATTGGATGGAGAAAAGGAAGTTCCAGGCATGTATACAGCTGGCTGGTTAAAACGTGGACCTACAGGCGTTATCGTATCTACCATGACGGATGCCTATGAAACAGCAGATACTATAGTAAATGATCTCCAACAAAATAAAGAAATGCTTTCTGGAGGATCCAAAGACGGAGCAGATGGCCTTGACTTAACCTTCAAGGAACGTAGCATCATGCCTGTTAGCTACTCTGATTGGAAGAAGATTGAAGCTGCCGAATTTGCTATCGGTGAAAACCTGGGTAAACCTCGCGAGAAGTTTACAACAATTGAAGATATGCTCGCTGTTCTTAAATCATAGCACTTTGCTTCTTTGATATGCACACCTTTTTTCCCCCTGATTGGTATCTTTCTTATGACTAACTCAGTGACAAAGTAGAACAACTTATAGACTAAATTTTAGTAAAATGTACATGTAAATTTAATAAAGTAGAACACTGTCTACAATCCTACGATACACTAATAATGACCTGCTTGCTTATGCTCTCTAAACACAGTTATTGAGAGATATAAAGATGGATGGGTGTACGACGACAAGAGGGCGAGAGAGAGAAAGAGAAAGACGGAAAATAGAATATGAAAGATATCAATACCAGTTATTTAAATCAACAAGATATTGAATGAAAAACTTTGCAATATTTATATCACTTGGTAATGCTTATTTTTATCATGATATTATAAACAGTAATAAACCGTGTTTTGTGAACTATCATTTTAGCTAAAACAGCTAAAGACAAAGGACGGCCACTAACAGAAAAAGGCTTTTAGCAAATGTATTCTAAAAAGAAATTACATCACTTGTATGATTTATTTGTTAACCATTTATAGACGACTACAGCAATCTATCTTCTGTCTTTGTCACGTACAGAGAAGAACATGGGACCTAGTTCGGCTAACCAATAGGGATCAACAGCTGTAACGCATTGCATGTATTCTTTAGATGTCAGCACAAGTTCGTGGTAGACGACATAGTCTGGAGTAAAACCTGCACCAAACAAAGCACTTGTTGGATGAAGATGGCACTTCATACCGCTTCTGCAATTGACGTATTCGCCAATACCCTTGACTCTAGCAGCTTGGTGGAAATAGGCAGAGCAAATACATTTTCTAATAACATCCCAGTCTGTACCACAAGAGACATAAGGCATTTTGATCGTTTTCATAATATCCATGAGTTGTGAACGAACTTCGCGAGCTTTGCGCATGGCTTTGGCGTGTATAAAATGTTTGTTGCACCAATCGTCTCGATAACTATGTAGAAAGAGGGTTTAATATAAGGAAGAACATATTGTATTATTTCTTACTGATTAATCTTCCATTGGGTATATACATGAAGCAACGTTAAATGGTCACTTTCGGGGACAAAGAACTTTTCGCGAGCAGCGTCTGATTCCTCCTGTCGTTCTTTAGGTCGATAGAATACAGATGGTACAGATAACATGGATACGATGGTCTAATATAAACTATAAGTCATTCCGACATATCTTTAGCATTCACAGTGAACTTACCAATACTTCCGCTGTGCACTCATGCTCTTCTGCTGCGATCAACATCTTGGCAAGTGATGGATCTACTGGGAACTCATTCATTTTCCTACCTGCCTCTGTTAGATCACCATTATCATCAAACGCGCCTAAGATCCAAAGCTGATACATGGAGTTCAGGATGTTGTCCTGAGGAGGAGGATCCATGAAGTCAAAGTCTAAAAGATTTTTCACGCCAAGTGACTTGAGCTGTAACACGACACTTGCAAGGTTTGTTCGTTGAATTTCAGGAATATTATTCACAAACATTTCATTTCTATATGCTTCTTCAGTGTATAGACGATAGGCAACACTATTTCAAGGTTAGGATAGATATCAGACGTACATTCTGTAACTTACCCAGGCCCTGTTCTACCAGCACGACCACTACGCTGATTTGCATTTGCCTGACTGATAGGGGTTACTTGAAGGGCATCCATACCAATACGAGGATTATACACTTTGAGCTTACAGTAACCAGTATCAATCACATACATAATACCATCCACAGTAAGCGATGTTTCAGCAATATTTGTAGCTACTACCACCTTTCGTGCATTGTTTTCGGATCTTTGGAAAATCTTTGCTTGAAGATCAGCAGGCAATTGAGAATAGATTGGCAAAATGGCTAAAGGCGGTGGATTATCTAGTTGCTGTAGACGTTCTAGTATAGTATATTTAGTATTTTCAAAAGACAACTTTTTTTTTTTACCTGCCAAGACAGCACACGTTGTCTCGATATCTTCTTGACCTGTCATAAATATCAATATATCACCTGCAGGCTTTGATAAATGAATAGCCAATGCTTGCTTTACTGCACTATCTACATAATCTTCGCATGAAGTCTTACTAAACATAACATCTACAGGGAAAGTACGACCAGGAATAAAGAAACAGGGCGCATTTCCAAAAAAGTTTGAAAATCTCTCTGCATTCATAGTGGCAGACGTTACAATAAGCTTCAAATCCCTTCTGCGACTGAGAATCTTCTTTAACAGACCCATCAATACATCTGTATTCAATGCACGTTCGTGGGCTTCGTCCATGATAATGGCACTGTATTGATCCAAATCAGGAGCTGTCATTGACTCACGCAACAAGATACCGTCAGTCATGTATCGAATGAGTGTCTTTTCAGATGTCTGATCTTCAAAACGAATAGTATAACCAACAGTATCACCTAGCTCACAACCCATTTCCTCTGCAACACGCTTTGCCACAGACATGGCAGCAACACGACGAGGCTGTGTACAACTGATTTTACCATATTTTGTGTAGCCATCTTCATGAAGATATTGAGTTAACTGAGTTGTTTTTCCCGAACCAGTTTCACCCACAATGATAACGACTAAAAACACAATATGTGTTAATGCTGTGTTCTCTCATTTTTTTACTTACACATTACCTTGATTATCTCGTACAACTCTTAACAGGTCTTCTCGTACAGCAAAAACTGGCAAGTATTCACGCTGTTCTCGCATTGTTCTCGTACGAGCAAAGTCACTTACTGCTTCAGACGATTTCAAATGACTGGCAAACTTTGAGTCAGCCTTTACATCCTCGCCCTCATGACTCTTGTCGTCTTCCTTCTCTTGTGATTTCACTCCCATGACGTTTCCTAGGGTTGTGCCAGCAATATCAAATTTGGTCGCCTTGGCTCTTTCCGCTTCTGCACGCTTCTCTCTGACAAGCCTACTACCTTTACGTGCAATGATGGCCATATCGGATGTTGGATCCTTCACGTACTGTACGGCTTCCAATTGCTTTGTGAACACAGCTTTGCCGCTTAAGAATGGTGGTTTGAAATCGTGGACAAGTAAATGAACACGATGTTCATTTTCTTCATCAAAGTCTGTGTCTACTTCTATTCTCTGAGCGACACCTGAGCTGAGCATTCTACTTGCTTCCCACATGTTTGTATCATGATTATATTGTGCTTGACGTGCAGATAGCTTCTTCATTTGTTTCTGAGCCAGGTCGTTTTCTTTACCACTTGCATATTCTTCGTATTGAGAGAACGGATTGTGTGTTTCATCAATAGCCTAAACATACATGTGAGATTTCAGCAGAACATATAATATGTACACATACTCCAGTATCTTCCATTTGATACCACTCTCTATCCAGTTGAGCCTGTTCTTCTTCCCATCGTCGTCTGTCTTCTTCACTACCATGAAATTCTTCAGGATATTCCAATGCAACTTCATCATAAGCAGTTGATCGAACTGCTGGTGTAGATGATTCCCAGGTTCTTCTTGCTACAGCAGTTGCATTACCGGTTGCTTTCCTGCTATAGCCACTATCTCGTCTAAAGGGTGTCATGTTGCCTGGAGAACTTCTAGGTGTATAAGAGCCATGTCTTCTTGGTGTTTGTTCTTCCCATTGACTACGCTTGTATCCTCGTCTGGGTGTCTCAGGAGGAGGCATGTCATCATAATCTCTACGTCTATCTCTGTTGGATGAGCCATGTCTATTCCTATCTCTTCTCCTCCTATCTTCCAATCTTCTCAATTCATTATCTGATAAACCACTACTGCCATGGGATGGGGTATCCATTCTTTGTGATCGATAATGAGGTTTATGTGTCTTGATATCTGTTTCTGAATCATCTTCTCTCTGACTTTCCTCTTCTTCCCAGTTGAGTTTTACTTTCTTTTCGGCACCTTCTTGCACCATCCTGGCGTGTCGTTTTTTACGAGCAAGCTCATCTAATCCAAGCTTTGATGGTTGAGCTGGAGCTTTAAAGATTGGACGTTCTTCATCCGTTCGAGACGATTTATTTTTTGTCTTGATGAGTCCACCGGGTAAGTTGTTGCCTAACAAAAGAACTTCACTTCTACTTTGATCTTGTTGAATCGGTTTTGATTTGGCTGAGGAAGGCTTTTGTTGAGCTCGTTTGTGGTTTTTAATTTTTACATAAATGTCATTCAAGAATTCTTTACTGAATCTACCAAATGTTCCACACACTTGACTAAATCTTTCAAAGTCTCCATTATTTTCTGCAAATTGAATAACTTTTTTTGCAAGTGAATCGTTTAGATTTGGGAGATTTAATGCTCTTGAAACATCGACAGCGATATCGTGAATAAAAGTGGTATCTTCAGCCATTGAAATGAAGGGAAAGGAAGAAAGAAAAAAAAAGGTTGAAAACGTCACAAATGCATTATTTTGCTTGTTTACTGCGTGTAAAATAGAAATTACTCTTATTTAAAAGAGCGAAAAAAGAAGACGTAAGTTAAAAGGAAACCAGTTGTCTATGACCGCACGCTTAAGTTATTATATATGTGTGTGTATCTATAAAGTATAAAAATGAAAATACTTGAGAATAATTGCTTCATAACATAAGATATCAAAGTGGGGATACTGAGTAAAGAAGCTTGAATTTCTCTCTCTTTCTCAGACAAGATGATATCAAAAGGACTAGTTAGAATCTAAAAGACAATGTATCAACACTACGTTTTGAGTCTGCAAAAGAAAAGGGAATAAGACATTAAGCATATTTGACATTGATTTTTTTAAAAAGGCGACTGCCAACTTTATTATACATTCAACCAGGCCCTTTGAAGGGATTAGGTTTTTTTTCTTCTTTTCTTTTGTAAAATGTACTTGCCCATCACTATTTTTCTACTAGTTTTATTAACAGAATCTATTCTGTTTTTGGGTTTTTCATATATTACAGAACTTGTAAGAGAAGAAAGAGTGAATGATCTCTTTATTAATCCTATTAGGCTTATGACACTTTTACCAAAATAACCAAAGATGCTCAAGTGACAAAACAAAAGAAACTAAAGACAGACATTTTAAAATTGAAAACAGAGTTATCACAAACTAGTTCTCAAGTAAAATATTAAATAGTATAAATAGCAACTTTTTGATAACATACATCTTAGGATGAATTTGCCAAATGGGCTAAATTACGTAGAAAATTGGATAAAGGCATGGCTGATTTAGAGAAACTTAGTAAAGTTCTAGTTATTGATTCTATATTGTGTATATATATACTGATTCATACTTTTAGATTCTGATATTGCTTATTCAAAAGCTGCCTTTGAACTCAAATCTAAATCAGTTCTTTGGTTTCTTGTTCATGGCACTCAGTTCATTATGATATTTTGGTTTAGAAAAAGTGCTGTATTTTATCTCCCACCTGGTTGGTTTGGACCAGCACAAAGATTTCTCTCATGGCCATTTGCACCTGCAGGTAAAGAAACATAAGTCATGGTTAAATTGAGACTAAACCAATTATATCAGGTTCCGTCAGTGTTGCTGTTTGGTTTGCAGCTTGTAGAAGGATGATTAAAGCTGTTGCACTTACAATGAATGATTTTGTATTTGTACGTGCAGCTAAAGAAAAGACAACATAGGTGTGTCGAAGCAGATTTAAAAAGTAATGATTTTACTGTAAATATCAGTTTTATAAGGTTAGATATTCCTTAATAAAAAGATAATTCATTATAATGTAAAAAAGAGAAAGAATAAATAGTGACTACGCCAATGTTTGACTCAAAGATCGGAATCTGTACTTTTTTTTTTTGTTTATGTGCACACAAGGACATGAAAGAAAAAAGACATGAAACTAGGATACAGCTATAATTTGGTGAATAATTGGGATCTATACATTCTATATTTTATAAACAAAAAAAGAAAGCACACACACACACGCAAAAAGGAGAAATCTTTTGATAATAATACGTTCGGGAGGAATAGGATTAACAATAGCAAAAAAAAAAAAAAAATCTTTAAATAGCAGACACACCCCCGCATTTTTTTTTTGGCTCCCTTCTTTTCAAACAAATACACATAAAATGGCATTTCGCTTCCATTGGCCAGAGTTTGACAACGACTTTTATAATTCAGCTAAATCACAACTTGAAGCAGCATTGAATAAAGGCAATAAACCTTCTGTTATTGTTGATTACATTACAGTAAAAGAACTTCACATGGGTTCCAAGGTAAAAACATTCAAATGGTAACTTTGACTCAGTCACTGATTTTTTTTTTTT